TGCCACTTCCATCGATAGGATGAGCAACATCCAATGAATCTTCGGCTAGAACATGGAAACATACACTACCTGGTTGAATCTTCGGCTAGAACATGCTGCTTCCCAACCTCCCCCCGGCACGGCGCGAGAAAAAACGGTAGCGAAAATCATAATGTCGCGCCGAAACCGACCGCCCACCGCCCCCCCGCCCCCCACCGCGCCCGTCCCTGCTACCGGCCTCCCCAACCGTCGCGCCCTCCTGGGTCTCCTGCGGCACCGCGCGCGAGGAATAGTGTTGCGCCAGTCCCGCTCGCCATCAGTCCCGCTCCGCCCGTCGGCCTCCGAACATATTTTCGCTGGGCCCAGCACGGTGCGTCTCGCTGGGCCCTTTGTAGTCTTTAAGAGTATAGGGAAAAGCTAATGATTCTTCCCCCCCCAAAAAAAAGAAACAAGAAAGATGTTTTTTTCCCAAAAAAATAAAAATAAAAAAATTTGTGTTCTTGACTTTGAACTGCGCCAGAACCGCGGTTCGATTCATTGTACCAAGCAACAAAACTGTGCTGCACCCTCCAATTGTGTTCTTTACTTTGAACTGGGCCAGAACTGCGGTTCCATTCATTGTACCAAGCAACAAAACCATGCTGCAGCCTCTCAAATGTGAGGACCACCTATTCAGCAATGGCTCGCGGGCAAAGCAGGAAAACTGAAGGACTCAGTGAAGCCAGGCGATTTCCCCAAAAGTGAATTTTGAATTTTGTTAAAAACGGCAGCGGAACCCCCAGCTCTTTAAGGAAGCTCTCAAAGTACACTATGTCCCTCAAATCATGATCTCAATCAACACTGCCAAGAGTCGTACCCCACTCAGATTGAGGATTGGCTTACCTACTGCCGATAGCTTTATTATAGCACTTCATAACGTTATACATATTGATTTTTATCACAGGTACCTTGAGGGCAGTGGTTGTCCCTTAACGGATGGTACTGAAAGTGATAACCCACCTTATCCCCAGTTGGGGTTAAGCATCAACGGCACCAACCACTGCCCTCAAGGTACCTCTGATGAAAATCAAAGCAGACCATCACTCACCCACAGCAGACAGAAAACTCTACAGGCTGCAGGTTCACAGCCCATCATAAGCCAGCGAAACAGCCATTAAACAAAGTAGGTCTGTCACGACCAGCAAATACACTCCACGCACACTGCTGCTATGGAAGTCATGGTGTATACCGTCAAACAGAACTGCCCAGTAAACCATACATAGGCAGAGAGGGAGAAGAGGACAACAGATGAGGTGCTGTGACAGACTGTTTCGTTGGAGTTTCAACGGCTCATCAGCAGGCTGACCTTCTACGGTCTGCAGTCCTCTAACCGATGATACTGAGAGTGTTCATCCACCTTAACCTCGGTTGCAGTTAAGCATCAACGACTGCCCTACAACTGATAGATCGAGGTGGGCACCAACCACTTCCCTCAAGGTACATATGACGAAAATCAAAGCAGACTATCAGTCACCCACACTAGACGGAAAACTATACAGACTGCAGGTTCACACCCCAAAATATCATCCAAAGCTGTCTCGGGGCCCAATCCAGACATTCTGGACCAGAGGCCAAGTGATGTGACTGCGAAGCAGTTGCATTGAACAACAGGGCAGGCAAACCATTCGAGCAGTCACACGGCTGGGATCTCTTACAATGCTCAGCTGGATGTAGCCCTACTCTCTCAGTAACGTTGCGGCTGGTATCCCCAGCTTCATAGTGCGTGCGGGAACACGGGCAGTCAGGCGGGCAGGGGCGTATGTACGTATGTATGCATGTAGGTATGTGTCTATTCACATCTATATTTGTGCGCAATGAGCATATATACATTCTATGTATGTGTATGCATGCGTGCAAGGATGGGTGGATGGGTGGATGGATGCGTATGAGCAATGTGTTTGCATGTCTCCTTGACTAAACAAGCATTTCTGCGTGTATGATGTCACCAACTCTAATGTCTGTTTGATGACGGGAAACATAAATATGGATGAATGTCTCATGGAGTTGCAAGGGCATCCTTGCTTCTCTCCTTCCCTCTGTCCATTCATTTGTCTTTGTAAACCTGGAAATCAAACAACACCAAAACAGTAGGAAAGGGGACATTGGCATTGGTGAACCAAGATCCGCGACTGCAGTTCAAACTTCAAAGTTTCTTAACTTTCATTTATTTGTTTGTTTTTATGGCAACTTCGCAGCCTCAAATCTTTGCAAGTTTCAAGCTATCAGTCTACAGTATATCAACCTTCCAATTCGAGACATTGCCCGAAATGCACAGTGCGTGGATGAAGGGAGAATGGACTCTGTCACGATCAGGTGGCTGTGACCTGCATGAAAACTGGGCTCGAAATCCACGATTTGTGATCGACACCTACGGCAAGGTGAGCTGAACTGTTGCCTCTCCCTCTGTATGGACAAAGTTGAATTAAAAAGCCACAAAACACTCCCCAAGAGGGTGGGAGGACCAAACTGTTGCAGAACAAACCAGGAAACACAATAGCACAGAAACACAGAGGATCAAGCTAGGAAACCATGAGGACTGTCTCTTATACACATCTAGATGTGTATAAGAGACAGGGTTTCCAAAGAGTGAGAATTCTGCAGCAGACAGACAGACTACAGCATCCGAGTAGACGTTGAAGAGGGAAAAGAAAAAAAAGAGAGAAGGAAGCATACAATGAGTGCAAGAAGAACGTGACGAACTAGAACAAGCAGCGGACAGAGAGGGGGCGGTCTCCAAAGAGTGAGAATTCTGCAACAGAGACAGACTAGAAAAAAAAAGAGAGAAGGAAGCCTACAATGAGTGCAAGAAGAACACAACGAACTAGAACAAGCAGCGGACAGAGAGGGGGCGGTCTCCAAAGAGTGAGAATTCTGCAGCAGACAGACAGACTACAGCATCCGAGTAGACGTTGAAGAGGGAAAAGAAAAAAAAGAGAGAAGGAAGCATACAATGAGTGCAAGAAGAACGTGACGAACTAGAACAAGCAGCGGACAGAGAGGGGGCGGTCTCCAAAGAGTGAGAATTCTGCAACAGACAGACAGACTACAGCATCCGAGTAGATGTTGAAGAGGGAAAAGAAAAAAAAGAGAGAAGGAAGCATACAATGAGTGCAAGAAGAACGCAACGAACTAGAACAAGCAGCGAACAGTCTGGGCAGTTCATGCAATATCTGAATGTCCTTTCCCAGTATGACTGCGAAAGGTGTTTTGAGTCTTCTATTACGCACGGCACAGACTGAGTACCCCGTGAAGCACGTTGATTGAACATGTCAGCCACAACCTACGGTGCATTACCGATCTGTTGCAGACTAGCAGCCCAACACCTCGGGTCATATCAAACATTGCAATTTATATTACCTCATCTACTGTCGTCTCCTGAACACAATGTATCCTCCTCATGGCTGTAAGGGACCCGGAGGATAGCTTGCACACATTCATTCCCGTTGAAAATAAACTCAGGTGGACACTTTTGTCACAGACCACGTAGGGGTAGGGGCAGTAGGGCCAGGCCCTTTTTTTCCTTTTCGTAAAACTGGGGAAGAAGCTGGCGGCCACATTGCACAAGATTTGGTTGAGTTTTAATTATACCAGATCGAGCGCAATATCGCCATCAGATTCGTACCCAAACGGCAGTTATGACGGGCCCCATGCATGGTGATCGTGGGGGGCCATGGAGAGGTCGCTGCACAGGGGAGAGGGAAGGGACGGGGGATGGGATTGATTGCAAAAGAGATGGGTGTGTGGTTATCAAGTTTGGGAAAAGAGTTTGCCGTTGGGTGTGGTGGGTGGATGGCAAGGAGGAGTAGTGCCACATTTCTGTTCTCGACGGGGATATTCTAATTATTGCTTCAGTTTTTCAAGTGATTTCATCATAAGCTTGATGCTGCCATGTTTCTTGTCGCCATGAGTGCGAATTACTTGCACTCGAGGGGATGGGAGAACACGTGCAGAGCTCAACACAATCTTGCACCAGAAATGTAGATCTATTTGTTGTTTGCTCATGTCTGACTTCAGGGTTCCTAAAGCGGGTTGTTGTTTGCTCACCCAATTTCACGAGAACAGAGGTAGGGGTATGCTAGAGTAGCAGGCTAAAGGTGGCAGCCAACATGTGGCTGAAGAGGCAGAAGCCCTCCTATGCTCTGGTGTACTGTGTCAAAAAACTATGTTTTAAATGGGATGCTCGGCCCGGTTCCTAGCATGTGTGGCTCCCCAGAGTCCCCAAGACTAGATTGGAGCATCTTTGTTCCAAAAAAAAAAAAAAAAAAAAATAGAGTTTAAAAACTGGCATTCCAGGTATTCTTACTGTTCTTGGGCCCACCTGTCTTGTCCTTGCTTTTCGTTTCCTTCACACATCGTCAACTGAGCTAATAGTAAACTGGCTTTTGTTACCTCTGCTGTGGGGTCTGCGGGGCCTGGGGGAGGAAAAAAAAAAAAAAACGAAAACAAAAAAAACGCCACTTTTGTGGAATGATCAGAAGGGGAGGTTTCTCATTGGCCTTGCGAGAGTCCCTCGAGTGTGGATATCTGGCACTTCATTGGAGAGGATGATTGGCTTTTATATCCTCAAATGCAACAAGGCAGACGGGCACGTGCACGCAGAGAAAGCTGATGTAATTGCAGGTAAGGAATTTTTCCAAACAATTGTCGAGTAGTTGGGCAGCGAGGTGCTTGTGAGGGAGTGAGTACAAGGGGGAAACTTCACATCCCTTGGATAAGGACATTTGATGAATGATTGGATCATTGACCATTGACATTGGGCGTGATTTGTATTATAAAAAAGAGTCAGTGCAGCTCCACCTGCATCAAAAGGGAGACCCGTGAATGGTACAGTGTATGACAATAATAATCACAGATTTGCAGTTGCTGGGCGGAATTTTCGTTGGCAGATTGCAAATATCGAAACAAAAGATAATGTTGAATGTAACATGGGCAGACACTACTCGACACTGTTTGGTAATCATATCAATTTCCCGACACGCATTCAATCGTCAAAGGCACATGAGGGAACAAAAGTAAGGACCTACCAAAAAAAAAAAAAAAAAAACAAGGCTATCAAGTGTAGTATCTGTTCTGATCAGTTTAATATCTGATCCGTGGTCCATCGGACCACAAAAAACAGAAAAAAAAAACAAAACAAAAACAGAAACACAGGGGATAACTGTTATGCGCCTGATTGAAACGAAATCCAACATGGCATCCACACGTTCCCAGACACGTGCGCAATGACAAGTGGACTTGGAGAGAACAATCCACACCAAACAAGATGAGCAAAATACACAGCGGAAGCACAGAAATACCCAAAATAGAATTGAAATTATTGAATTGAAAGTATAGAATTGAAAATCAATTCCAATTACCGTCTCTCCCCGATTCAATCAGCAACACAAATTTTCCCAAGAATCCCAACCACGTTATTAAACGGACCAATTATTTACAACTAAGTTTCATCAAAGTATCCGGGAGTCTTCTTCTTCCTCCCTGTTCCTCAAGCTCTAGCTATGGTGCCTGTAAGCACCCAACCTATCAAGCCTGTCAATCTATGTATCACCCGCGGTCATGACCGCGGGCCCGCTGACCGCATGCGGTCAGGATCAAGGCCGCGGGGGCCAAAGTGCAGCCCAAAACCCCGACATTTTTAATTCCTTGGATAATAGGCGGAAAAACAAAAACTATATATGGGGTTTTAAGGTTTGAAAAACCCTACATTCCCTTTTTTTCTTTTTGATGCTTTTTGTGATTTAAAAAAAATAGAAAACGAAATAAACAAGTATTAAAATCAAAAGAAACATAATAAAAAAAGGGAACCTTTTTTTTCATTTTTTCCTGATTGCTGGTGGGATAATCATGTTTCTTTGATTCTTTTTTTTCCCTACATATCATACATGCAAACGCACATCGGGCGCGGACCGTTGGCGCTCAAGCACACCCCGACGGAGCCGACCTGCACCGCGCACGAAGGCCCAGGCCAAAACTCAAAAAAAAAAAAAAAACGGGATGTCGATTCATCCCTGGGCCGGCCCCCCAGCGAAAATGGAGTTGGGGCCCAATTTTTTTTTTAGCGGGCCGCGCTCAAGCACGGCCTGAAATGATTTCGAATTTGATTTTGGGTGGGGGTACCTTTTTCATAGTTTTCGCAGGTAGATACTGGCAGGGTTTCGGCGGGCCGTTTACTCGGTGTTGCAGCCGCCTCCAGTCCACTCCGGGAAGCAGCGCCGTCAGTCCCCCGCTACGAGCAGCGCCGAACTCTCCGTGCATATGCATCATCACCGACGCTGAGCTCTGGAGCGACCATCGCCGGCTTCAACCCTCCTCGAAGGTGAGTCTTCACCAGCCCTCCTGCCCTCCCTCGAATTCACCTCCTCCTCCTCCTCCTCCTCCTCCTCCTCCACATCTTCCCCTTCCTCCTCCTCCTCCATCTCTCCTCCTCGTCTCGGTATTGTCCTTTCCTTTTTTTTCCATAGTATCGGATCCTGTACTCGGAGCTTTGCAAGTATCTCAGACTATCTCCTCGTCTTCTCCGCAACCTCCTCGTCCCCTCCTCCATCTCTCCTCCTCGTCACTTCCTCCACTTCTCATCAGCGTCCCCTCCTCGTGTATCTTTTGTTCTCCTCCTCCTCCGGTCCTCCTCGGCCTCCTCCTTGTCAAGGTCTTGTCACCTTTTCTTGTGTGAACTTCGATTTGTGCTGGTATCACCTCCTCTACCTTTAGTCATCCATCTTTCCTCGTACTCCTCCTCCGTCCCTCCTCGTCCATCTTTCCTCCTCCATCGCTCCATCTCTTCTCCGCCATCTCTCCATCTCTACTCTTCCACCTCTCATCCTCCTTGCCGCAGCCTCGTCACTTTTTGTTTTTCCTTTTTTTAATGGAAACTTTGAAATTCGAACGGTGATGGTATCTCGTCGGCCTCTGATGGCATCTCCTCGTCCTCCTCCTCCTCTGTCTCCTCGTCCTTCTCCTCCATCCCTCCTCGTCCGTCTTTCGTCCTCCATCACTCCATTTCCCCTCCTCCACCTCTCCTCCTCCTTGTCACCGCCTCGTCACTTTTTTATTTTATTTTTTTAATGCAAACTTTGAAGTATGAACTGTGACGGTATTTCCTCGTCGTCGTCCTCCTCCATGTCTCCTCGTCCTTCTCCTCCATCCCTCCTCGTCCATCTTTCCTCCTCCATCTCTCCTCCATCTCTCCATCTCCTCTCCACCTTTCATCCTCCTTGTCACGGCCTCGTTATTTTATTTTATTTTTATGGACACTTCGAAGTTCGAACTGTGATGGTATCTCGTGGTTGTCCTCCTCCTCCTCCTCCATCGTCCATCTTTCCACCTCCATCTCCTCCTCCACTTCTAATCCTCATCACAGTTTCGTCACTTTTTTCTTTGTCATTACTGGAAACTTCTCTAGTTCGAACTGTGATGGTATTTCGTCCTCCTTATCACGTCGTCGTCGTTGTCCTCGTCCATTTCTCCTCCTCCTCACCTCCTCTTTCTCATCCTCCTCCATCTCCTCGTCTTCCCTTTCCATCTCATCTCGTCCTTGTCACGCCCTCGTCACTTTTTTTCTTTTTTTCTTTTTAATGAAACTCTGAAAATAGAACTCCGATTGTATTTCCTCCTCCTGTCCCGTTGTCGTCGTCACTTCTTTTTCCATGGACATTTGGAAAAGCAATTGTTTCCGTTTCTGAAAGGCAATTAATCGCTTTTTTTTCCGTTTATGTTTTGCAAAAGCAGTGGTGTGCTATTTTCGTGGGGGGTTTGGGGGGGTAGGGGGCTAGAAGGGGGTGGAATAAGGCTGATTTCATGGAGTTTCGTGGGGAGAGGGAAGGGGGTGGGGGATGTGCGTTTCGGAGTGGATGCAGGACACGGCTGAGTTCGTGACTTCTCTTCTGCGGTTTGTGTGCAGGTCATGATGACGAGCCACGTGTATAGTTCCGCTGTGATAAAGCAGCATGGCCATGAAGATGGGCTCCGTGAAGGAGGGTTTGAGGCAGGTGCTGATCCATGTGGCAAGGGCGACTGACGGCGGCAGCAGTCTTCCTAGTGTGTCGAGTGTGGGTAGGGATAGGGGAAAGGTGATTGCTGCACCCACCTCGCAGTGATTATGAGAAAAAAAATAAAAATAAAAAAAATTCCGGACGGGATATGGCCGCACCCAACAACGTGCGGCCCCGTGCGGTCCTGTACGGTATGGGTACGGCCCTGTACCGAGGTTGGGGAGGTCCTGGACCAGACCCCCTACGGCGCACGGGATGGTGCGGCGCGCTGTGCGGTTGCAAGTATGCTACATATGCAAATATACAAGGAAAAAAAAAAAAGGATAATCATGAGAAGACAAAACAAAGTCATTTTCTTTTTCTTTTTCCTCCTTTTTTTTCGTTTTTGATAGACACACATACTGATTGATTGAGTGATTGATTGATTGATTGATTGATCAGTAAAAAAAATAAAAAATGAACGCGCTAGTTTGTGTGTGTGTGTGTGCAGCGGGCCTCTATCTGCCCTGGCTGTAGGCCTATTCGACTATTTGCCTGTCCCGCCTGTGGGACCAGGCCGTGGCCTGACCCCACAGACCGTGTGCTGTTTCAATCCAGTCCAGTCCTGCCCGGTACCACTGTCGGTACCACGCCAGTCCAGTCCCGTCACGTCAGTCCGCTGGGATATACCCCAGCTGCAGTCTGTATTCTGATTCATTTTGCATTTGCACACTTTGGAGTACGTGCGTGTTGAGTCTGCATCGGAGCTGCGCTGTCCCTTCCAGCTCCATCTCCATCTCCTGCTTCCCCAACCCTCCGTGTTGATCCTGACGGACCGCCATCCCGGCAGGTCGGTGACACTGGCATCAGAGCGGGAACGGTCCTCACTCCAACCCGCCCTCCCTCCCGTAACAGAGGGAAATAGCTGTAATCTCGATAGGGGGATTTTCAGGGTTTTGCAGGGCGGAAACTACGAAAAACAGCGAAGAAAAGCAGCAGCGTGGAGATGTGGACACGTGGCGAAAAAGGAGCCTGCCGCCACCGCGAATAAACCCGAAGAAAAGCAGCAGCGTGGAGATGTGGACACGTGGCGAAAAAGGAGCCTGCCGCCACCGTGCACGCACCAAGGCCAAGGCCGCCGCGTGGAGAGGTGGACACGTGGTGAAAAAGAAGACTGCCGCCAATATGCGTTTCAGGGTTTTGCAGGGCGGAAACTATGAAAAACAGCGAAGAAAAGCAGCAGCATGGAGAGGTGGACACATGGCGAAAAAGGAGACTGCCGCCACCGCGCACGTGCCAAGGCCAAGGCCGCTGCACACGTGCGTGCGGCCCGCTGCTCCGCCCCGCCCCGCTCCGCTCCCGGATTATATATCATGAAGATCGGGGATGCTTCTACTGCCCAGGTTTGAACCTGGGCAGCTGCCACTCATGCATGTGCGTGGCCAATGCCTTAACACACTGGCCAAAGCCACAATCTGAGTTGATACTGTGGCTCGCTGTTGTTGAAGAAGTGCCACGGCAGCTATTTACACCCCCCTCTATCCCCCCCCCCCCCCCGTCGGCGACCGGTGACCTGCATGCGGCAAGACAGCTATTTCCCCCCTCCCCCTGGGTGGTCGTGGGTGCTGCCGCCTGCGCACGTGGCTGGTATCTGGTGCCTATTTGGAGTGTCCCGTGGCAGCTTGCTGTGGATCTTGAAGACTCCCCTGGCTAGGGGGCTGCACTACAGTGACATTTGGGTGGCTGATCAAGATCTCAGCCCACCCCAGATTTTTTTTTGTTGCAGTGACGTCAGGCCAGCGCCTCTTGAAGGCCAAGATCCTGTGGATCTTGGTAGTGCTCTGCTCTTGGCCAGGGTTGTCACAGCCCCGGCCTCGGGGGTCCGGTGCAGTGGTCCCCTGACCCCAGCCATGGCCCGGCCCCCATGCCATGGCCCGGGCCCCGTGGACAAAAGAGTATGGCCCTGTGTGGCAAGTTGGTGAAACTTCCCATCATACGAGGGGTGTGGTGGTGGTGTGGTGGCACTGGTGGCCAGTGGTGGGGCAGGGCCAATGTGGGGTGTGGCGCTAGCAGGGCCGGTGTGCGCTGTGGACGACTCGCTGCTACTTCATGGTTTTGATTTTCAATTCCAATGAACAGAAGAAAAAAAAAAAAACACGATTATCATGAAACGTGATCAATAAACGGTGAACACTGCACACTGCACACTGAACAAGCAGGCGACGAAACCACAGAATGAACACAAACATTGAAAACAAACATATTATGCAAGTCATAGCACAGAATGAAAGAAAAAAAAAAAAAAAAAAAAATGGGGTGAACACAGCGAGTGCACTCGATGGGCA